TTCCAGTTTTTCTTGGTCCAACTCAGTTGGGACATAGTTTACATGCTAAACATGTCTTTAAAGCATTCATGCCCTCATTTTGACCAAAAATGGTATCAAAAGTGGAGTATAGTTTATCTGTCTAATTCGAGATCTAATTATCTGTTCACTATAGTCAAGAGTACATAGTCTTGCATGACTAGGCTACATTTTAATGATATATTCAGTGTTACTGACCACACACAATCAGAAAAACACAAAAATGCAAAGCATCTACTGTGACCAAAAATAGCATGTAGATCTAGACTAATTCATTGTACTGCACGAGTGGAGCATATCTAAAAGCTACTCATATTGGTTACTCCTACACAATCCACACTTGTTCCTTTATCTACTTGTATTGCTTTGTGAAGTTTGACTTCTTTTACTGTTCTTCAGCCATGATTGATCTTTGCCAGTGGATGGCTAGAATAGGATCCTGGAGCTGTTCCCGCCATTGGACACAACCCAGTGCTTGTACTAGTACTGGTAGCAGTTACTGTGGAACTGGTAATGCAGCTGCACCAGTGAAGTCCCAGCCTGGACTTATTTTGTCTATTTTTTGTCTTCTTATCCTCCTCTTCATATCAGGAGATGTGGAACTTAATCCTGGACCCACTCTTACAGGTAAGGCTGATTTATGAACTAGTGTTTATTATACATCATACTAGATAAGCCAACAAAAGATGAATTGGTTGAGTTATTGAGTAGCTCAAAGTTCACTGCTGGTACTTGGGAACAGTTTGTCTGTTATCTTCCTAACATGACACAAGATATCATTACTGGAATCAAAGAGAGAGGATCAATAGAAGAGGACACCATGAGTGCTGTAGCTCAAAACTGTCTTGATAATAATCCTGATATAACATGGAGAAAGGTCATCGATGCTTTGCTGGATGCTAGGGAAGTTACTGTAGCTCATATTGTCTTAGATGATCATTTAGGTGCATATAGTATGAAGAATTTATGTTCATATGACAATTTTTTCTTCTTTACTTTAGATACAAGCGCGAGTAAAAATGTTTCCCGAACAGTAAAGCAAGTCCTAAGAAGTCATTACTCCAAATTAATGGAAACTACTGAAACTTGCCTTTCAAAAGTAGCCAGTGAGTTGTACAGCAAAAAATTAATCAATAATGAAGTTCGACGTTCACCATCTTTTGAAAAAAATTGAAACAGATTTCTCGGCTACAGTTTCTTTGTACAAAGAGGATGCCAAAAAAATGATGGAGGTGTGTTCCCTTTTTATAGAGTGTCTATCAACTGCAGGTGGTCCTGCTCAAGAGGAAGCCATTGCACTAGCTAGAGACTGGGAGAATGAAGTATTTAAAGATCATCAAGTATTGTTCTCTTTTGCTAAGGCAGCCACAGAAGTTATTCCTAAAGAAGTACAGCTTAGCTTTAACGATAGGCTAGCAATTGAACTTAGAAACCTACACAAGAAATATGCAAAGCTGATGACTGATATTACTACGTATTATGCCTCCAGTGGAAAACATGATCCAGTTGTTATTGCTCGATGGGGTGAAAATTATTTTTCTGATATAACTGATCTAGATCTGGCATGGGATGGTGTGACAGTTGATAAAATATTTAAGCAAATGCGACCATATCACAGTTTTATTGATATAGATGTGATAAAGGATCTCATAAAAGATTTCCCAATTGATGACTCTGCATTACAAGCTAGGTTTGATGAATATGCTGACAGCATTGAAGTTTTTATCAACTCAGCAGAACTCAATGATATTTTTACAGCTATTGAATCAGGAATTATTGGGGAAAGTACCAAAGTTGATCCTAAAATAATTCTCAAGCTGTCTGGAAGATGGAATGAACAAACTATTGGTCATGTTCGTAAGCTAGTGGACTATTTATTTAATGAAGAAGCAAAATATGTTACCATAAAGAAGTTCTTACGAGGATCAATTTGTATTCAATTTTTGGTATTTTCCGACAGATCAGTTCAACCTCTCATTGCAAAATCACAAAGTAAAATTCCCTTCTTGCATCTTCTTGGTATATTTCAACTGATCATTGACAATCAAACTATCATTGACAGAGAGGAAGATATTAGCTTCACATTTGAAGAATCACTTCTACAGTCTATTGCAAGTATAAAAAGTAGTTTAGAATATCAGAGATTATTTGTTCTTTTGACAAAAGTTAAAATAAACCTAAATTACCAGAATGCTAATGGCCAAACTCCACTAATGTTAGCAAGCATAGGTGGACAAATTGAAATCTTCAACTCATTACTACAAAATGGTGCCAATCCATTTGTACAACTACCAGCAAATAAAGGATGCATTGGGTTGAACTATTTAGCCTGCACTGCTCTCTCTCAGCATGTATACAAATCAATTGGAGGAGAGAAAATTAAACCACAAGATGACACTTCAGTTGAAGACATGCTGGAAATGGCTGTTAAAGAAAGAGGAGTGAGTAGTCATTTTTATGAGCCATTCATGTATGTCATTAAAAATAAAATAAAAGAAAAGTTTCAATGGCTGCAAGATTGTTTTCATGCCCTAAACAGTAATTTCATTGCTACTGCCACCAATTTTTTAACCAGCAAAGCCTTGGTAACAGAAGCAAAACAAAAGTTTCAATCATATATCAAAGAACATGCTACTTGTGAAAATGTTCATCAACTTGTTCAGTTGCTCCAGCCTCATTACTCATGTTTAAACATTAACCTTCTCACAATACCATGTACCATCACAGAACCTATCAAGGAACAGGTAGAAGAATACAGTACTAGCCTGAAGATATTCAAAGATACCACTAGCCTACTGGAGCTAGCAATGATGACTAAAGGAATGCCTTGTCCTGATGGTGTTGGGTGTTCCAAATTAATTTTAAGACTCAACAAACCATGGTGCTCCAGGACAATTTCTGAATTAAATAAGATGGAAATTTTTTACTTATCGCCTATTTCATCCTTTCTAAACCTCATTGAAACCCATTATGATGCCTCCAGCTGTACCTGTACATATTTCTTGCCTCAATCACAAACTGAATCAGTAATCACAGCTGTTTTTGAACAGAGAGTTTCCTTATATGGGATTGGTGTATTTGAAGTTATGATTGATGATATTCCTATAATGATGGAAGATGAAAATAAATCATTTACGTTTGAGGCTGCACTGCAAAAAGCACGTCAAACTAATAATGAAAATGTACTTTTTTTCCTACTGGAACTTAATATTAGTTCACCTCTTGATGATACTGACCTCATGATTGCTATCAATAGAAGAGATTTTGTGACTATTCAGTTTTTACTGAGTAAAAATCCAGATATTAACATTCAAACTAATGATGGATGGACTGCTTTGATGCTTGCTAGTCGCAATGGACATCACCAGATTGTAGAACTCTTACTGAGTAAAGACCCAGACATTAACATTCAAAGTAATAATGGATGGACTGCTTTGATGACTGCTAGTCGCAATAGACATCACCAGGTTGTAGAACTCTTACTGAGTAAAGATCCAGATATTAACATTCAAAGTAATGATGGATGGACTGCTTTGATGCTTGCTAGTCGCAATGGACATCACCAGGTTGTAGAACTCTTACTGAGTAAAGATCCAGATATTAACGTTCAAAATAATTATGGATGGACTGCTTTGATACTTGCAAGTCGCCATGGACATCACCAAGTTGTTGAACTTTTACTGAGTAAAGATCCAGATATTAACATTCAAAATAATGATGGATGGACTGCTTTGATGTTTGCTAGTGGCAATGGATGTCACCAGGTTGTTGAACTATTACTGAGTAAAGATCCAGATATTAACATTCAAAGTAATGATGGATGGACTGCTTTGATGTTTGCTAGTCGCAATGGACATCACCAGGTTGTAGAACTTTTACTGAGTAAAGATCCAGATATTAACGTTCAAAATAATTATGGATGGACTGCTTTGATACTTGCAAGTCGCCATGGACATCACCAAGTTGTTGAACTTTTATTGAGCAAAGATCCAGATATTAGCATTCAAGATAATGATGGATGGACTGCTTTGATGTTTGCTAGTGGCAATGGATGTCACCAGGTTGTTGAACTATTACTGAGTAAAGATCCAGATATTAATATTCAAAGTAATGATGGATGGACTACTTTGATGCTTGCTAGTCGCAATGGACATCACCAGGTTGTTGAACTATTACTGAGTAAAGATCCAGATATTAACGTTCAAAATAATTATGGATGGACTGCTTTGATACTTGCAAGTCGCCATGGACATCACCAAGTTGTTGAACTTTTACTGAGTAAAGATCCAGATATTAACATTCAAAATAATGATGGATGGACTGCTTTGATGTTTGCTAGTGGCAATGGATGTCACCAGGTTGTTGAACTATTACTGAGTAAAGATCCAGATATTAACATTCAAAGTAATGATGGATGGACTGCTTTGATGTTTGCTAGTCGCAATGGACATCACCAGGTTGTAGAACTCTTACTGAGTAAAGATCCAGATATTAACGTTCAAAATAATTATGGATGGACTGCTTTGATACTTGCAAGTCGCCATGGACATCACCAAGTTGTTGAACTTTTACTGAGCAAAGATCCAGATATTAGCATTCAAGATAATGATGGATGGACTGCTTTGATGTTTG